CGCTACTCAGGTCCACCACTCGCCGTTGTCAGTGCACGGTTTTTCTAGCAAGCTCCAGCCTAGTATTGATCTTATTCAGTATTTACGGTACGAAGATTTGATAACGGAATGTGACGTTTCCACATCATGCTTGATGGTTGAAGTTTGCACCGTTAACAACTACCAAGTCAAGTCGCAGCCCCAGTCATCTGGCACGTCTCTGTCATCGAATAAAGCCAATGAACAAGAAAGTTATTATTTTCCAGCATAAATGAAAATATATAACACTGCTACAGGCGGTACGCGGATGTCATGCACATTACACACAACGATTCAATCGAATAAAAACTGGATTAACCATAAATCAGCACTGGATTAACCATAAATAATAACAGTACAGCACCAAACACTTGAGATGCACATTATAGTACTTTAGAATGCACAGAGGAGTAATGAGACTAAAAGTTTTAACACGCCCTATCTTAAAAAAATATTGAACGAGATATTTCCACAGTGCAAAAACAAAACCGAAATCCGACAAAAAACCGATTCCAGGTTCAATGTCCACAGATTTAAAAACAAAACTTTCAAGTGCCCCCATGGTAAAAAAAAAAATGACCAAAGACGGAATTGTAACAAAGAATAAATAAAGATATGTGCGGCAAACGAAGGGCGGCACTGGACGAGCGTCTGCACAAAGTAGGCGCACAGAGTTACTCCTTAGCCCAGCGGGCAGCAGCAAATGAATTACAACCAAAGGAAGAATATGCATTAGTCTATTAAGGCTCATCGCACCATGACGAGGCACAGCTAGGATAACGCGATTCGCCTGCGTCCTCCAGGCGAGAAGCACCTCGAGTAGGCTGCCGTGTCTTGACCAACTGCCGCATCCGTCGTCCGCGCCGCAGGCCTCCCAGTAGTGCCTCGGAGTAGTGCCTCCATCGCATCGGCCGTCGACCGGCGTGGGGCCCGGATGTGACTAGTGCAGCTCCGTGGGGTGCCCTGCCGCGCTCTGCCGAGTGTGCAGAGAGCAGGTAGACTGGTGGCGGTGAAGAAAACAAGCAGTTATCTTCTTTCGGGATCTGTAAAGAAGCATTCTACTAAAAACTACATCCAAAACGTTTTCCATATTTTTTTTTTACAGAACACAATGCAGTAGCCAAAATAGATATGAAGTATGTGAAGACAACAGTCTACTGCCATTAGATAACTGATCCTGATGGACAAATACATTAGATACTAGTAAATCATAAGGTGGTTCAAAGGCACACTTTGCAGCTCCAGTAAAAAATCACTGTTTTTCATACTTCATACTGTAAGGGGAAAGGGTGGGGTGGGGATGCAGCCAAGAGTGCATCATATGGGGTTGTAGTGGTCGGACCATCTGGAGCAATAGCCTGTTTTTGCCGTTTTTAATGTTAACCCTATGGCGCACATGAGCACGCGCCACGGGCGCACCCCCGGCCGAATCGTGCCCAAAAGCTAATACGACCTGTTGAATTACATGACCCACGAGTCGTGAAAATTTCACCCTCGTGCGTCAATCGACGGCGCCGCAATATCCGTTTTGGGGCATCACGCCGCCTATAAGCCTCGCAAAAGCGTCCGCACGGCCGGCCGGCCGGCCGGCCGGCCGCTCATACTCAGAAATTTCCGTTAATCTAAGGAAAGACTTCGCTCGCTTCGCTCGCTCCGTAACAAAAGTGACACCTCTCCGTTTTACACGTGTCACGTGCAGTGGAGGTCACCCGCAAGCATTGTCCATAGTAAATACTTGTAAGAAGAGTATACGCTACCCCACACAAAAAACCGCAAGTGTAACAGTGTCCGTCCCCCTCCCCGGCGCCGTTTTCCTCCAGGGGAGGCGCCCCAGCCGCCGTACTGGGGCGTAGCGGAGTCCGTGCTTTTAGCACAGCAAAATATCCACCCAGGCTAGATTAACGTCACGACAACCTAGGATTAAGAGTGGCTAGACTTCAGACTTCATGCAGACTTAACATTGAAGTATTATATATGCAACTAAATGACACACATGGTGTTTGTTCTAACCTTCTCAACAGAAAGTGAACGTGTCAGGACAGCACCCCTTGGTGACCATTATATTCAAGGGGTGCAGGAACTGATTCCCCAGGGGTGAAGCGATAGAAGCAAAAACATGAGTCACTAGTTCCCTCCTGTGTCTTCCCTCCTGCAGAAAAAAAATACATGTGTGATGCCCAATGTGACTGATAACTGCATATTATAAAGCTGGAAATATTGTACAAAGTTGTGACAACACAAGCAAACTATGCATGTCACTGCTCTTGTATAACTTTTCTATTTTTATTGCTATATGAGACCTCACAAGACACAAAAATATGCATGGTTAGAAAGTGGGTAACAATACATTTCAAATGAACTAAGCAGATTATTTCTAAGCTCCTTTAAGTCCCAATTTCTGCTATATTTCGCTTGTTGTCACTTCATATTTTGAACTCAAGGTGCCTTGTGGATTTACCTCAGGTATGTAGGTAAATCCACAAGGATTTATGGGCTTTACCACAGTTGAGTAGCTGCTCCCTCAATTTAAGTTTCTCGTTAAATTTCATTGAGGCGTTGCAAGATGGGCTGAAGCCGAATCCTCTTCCCTGTTTAGCTGATGCTCATAATACCTGAACATTTTTAATTCCAATTTTTATAGCTGTTAACAATTGGTAAAGGCCCATGTACCTAGACAACAATGACTTTACAGAAGAAACCCCTGGCTGTGTTTCATGGGCGCGCTGCCAGCCGCTGCCAGCGCATTCCGCGTGAGCTAGCGTCAACCTCCGGTAGTGTTGGAGGTATAGGCTTGTTGATGTCTCTATGGAAGCCAAAAGCGGCTGGCAGAGTGCTGTGATATGCTGTGATACACCACCCTTATTTTTGCACAATAATGCTGTGATAACTGTTCCTGCAAAAAATATAAGGTGAAGTGAAGTAAAATCAGGTCAAACATTAATATATACCCGAAAATAGCAGTGTTTGGAGTACCTATATTCACATTACCAATAATATAAAATCAGGTCAAACATTAATATATACCAGAAAATAGCAGTGTTTGCCGTTTGGAGTACCTATATTCACATTACCAATAATATGATACACAACAGGCCATAGAAAACCAGTGAATCAGAATGTTGAATTGTACCCCAATTTCAATATCAATATGGCACTTGGCAATAACAGTTAAACACACCGTTTTTGATGTTAAATCAACAGAGAAAACTCCTGAACATAAAAAATGATCAGAATGTATAATAAGGATAACAGTATAAATAAAAATCGACGACATCAGCACCTATCATCGCCGTTCCACATTCACCACTCCCCATTCCACGCACAGATTGTTTACTCCTTGGTTTACCCCGTGTTCGCAGTCTCCCTGACGACGGAGATTCTTTACGCCCACCGACCAATCACGTTCAAGATCAGCGGGGCTTGGCCGCAGTTCTCGAACGCTATTTGCCAGATTAAGCAGGACCTTCGTCGTCAGTAAACTGTGAACACGGCGTTACATATTTCGCTATGGTAACAAAAGCGCCAGAATTGACTACCAGAATTGGATCCGAAGGTCAAATGGGTCACGTGACTGACAAGTTCAGATGGACAACACCAGGAAAACGGAACAACGTGCAATAACGTTCTATATATCATTGGAAAGAGCATCAAAAGTTGTATAAAATATCAACTTTTGACTTAAACATATCTTAAACGTAAAAAGTTATTAAGCATCAAAGACGCTCCCATTGACTTTCAAAGTTAAAATTTTTCATTTTTAAACGAGCTTCAAAAGAGCAAACGAATTCTGACAGCTTAACGAAGCATAACACCATGTTCTATGGTCTTTTCTCAACAAGTCCTGAAAGTTTAAACAAAATCGTATCATATAATTTTGTACAATGAGCGAATGAAAAAGTCTCTGCAAAAACGCCCATTGACTTAACATGGGGAGCGAAAAAAATTCAACTTTGACCTCGTGCAAAGACACGTTACGAAGTTCTGAGGGGTATACGGCGCACACCAGCGTGTACCCAAACGTGTTTGCCATAAAATGCTGGGAAGAAAACCACCTCTTCCTTGGCTCGTTTTCCCGCCATTGGCGATCGCGCAAAAAGTGTCCAAAACCCCGTTGACTTAACATGGGGAAAATGGAATCGCACGTGCCACGTGCCACGAGGTTTTAAGCGAGTAGCGACCGGTGCCAACAGGTAGATCGCCTGCGGGAGCCCATACACTGAAATTTTTAAGAAAATCGAGCCACAAGTTTAGGCCTGACCCAAGTTGCCCCAATTCGCGGCCAGACATGCAAAACATAGCCCGGAGAAGGACCGCTCCGGTTGTTTTTCAATAGAAAAACACAATTCTAACGAATAGTGTTTGTCTTTTCAAACAACCTGCGGTTATTTTTACGAAGATTGAGGGATTCGTTTAGGAGAGGCTCAACTTGTCTCGATTCGCGGCCAGACTTGCAAAACATAGCCCGGAGAAGGACCGCTCCGGTTGTTTTTCAATAGAAAAACACAATTCTAACGAATAGTGTTTGTCTTTTCAAACAACCTGCGGTTAGCCCGGAGAAGGACCGCTCCGGTTGTTTTTCAATAGAAAAACACAATTCTAACGAATAGTGTTTGTCTTTTCAAACAACCTGCGGTTACGAACTGACGTGCACTGCACTCTACGCCGCCAACCGCAAAACGCCGTAAAAAACGGCCGCCCGCCGTCAAACGCAAAAACCGCAAAAATGCGCCCGGCCGCCGCCAACCGAAAATAAACCTTTTACCGAAAACGACGCAAAAACAAAATCACCCGCATCGCGGCGGGCGGGCGATGGGCGAATTTTTTATGGGCGATTTTTTTTAGCCAAACTCAGACTCGGGCTCTGAGTGCAGCCTGAGTTATAGATGTCGCTGTCATTCAGCCACTGAAACAAAAGCGCCACGATTACCGTCAAATCATATTTCCTACGCGGCCGAGAAAAAAAATGAAGCGGAAAGTGAGTAAGTAAGACCTACCTGACACACGGTACAGTTGTTTTGAACATCACCAGTTGAACCACGAGGCATCCATATTCCATACCAACGAAAAGTTTTCCATCTCTTGGTATATTAGCCGTAGGCTAATATTCCAGGCAGCGGCACGAGGAGCCGGATGGAGGAAACATGGATGCACGCTTGGTAAGGGCAGGATAGTATATTAGGACGTGAGCTTTACCAAAAGGCATCCACGCACCGCGCTGCCCGCCCTTGACGCAATTAGCAAATAAGTTGGCTCCAAATGTGATAGCCATCTTTCAATTACGTTAATTCAAGTTCGAAAGATGATTGGTGTTACTAAAAAAAGACTACGTCAAGAGCCCGTTACGATGTAACGGAAGACAAACCAGCCACTCCACACCTAGGCAGTTTTTCACACGCATTCCTGCATTCACACTCGCCATTTCGTGCACCGGCCTGCCCGCTGCACAACGTAATATCTATGGCAACTATACTGTCTAAGGCATGATTGTTGCTCCTAATGGTTTTCTTTTTTCACAGACTGGAGTGTGCTTTACATGAAAATATAATGTAGTAGATGATACCTGCTCATTTCATCACTAAACGTGTGAAATGTTCAAATCATGTTGGTATGTGGATAAGATCCGAGACTAGGAATTTAAAGTGTAGAAATGTCGGTGGCTGCTGGACGCATCTGCAACTGAGCTCATGGTCCTAATCATCCGCGAAAGTGACGAAACTACAGGAATGTCACGGTAAAGATGCGCAGTACCCTGTATGTTCATGGCATACAGCTGCAAGCTAAGACAAAACTAGAAACGATCTTTGGGTAGAACATATAAAGTGAAGCAATACCAATGCAGAACTACTTGGAGTCACAGGAACCAGTGTGTCCAACATATCAATCAGCTAACATGTAAGGACGCATGTGTAAGGCCGCATGTGCAACTGTAATCCCTCTTGATCGACTACAAGAATGGAAAGAAAACGTCAACGGAGTAAAACTTCACCATGTGAATCTGCGTATAACTGGCATTCGTGATCAAGTATGCACAACAGATGTGAGGTGAGGACGCGGTGTCATTGCGATACAACATCAACTGATGCAATATTGGAATGCATTTTGCACTCATTCTTGCATATTGATAAGATCAAAAGTAAGGCGATAATGTGGATAAGTGTGTTGACAGATGTCGAAGACTGACGGTGATTACGAACTGCTTAACAGGCGACCGGATTGACGGTGATGCGCCTGACCGATCGTTGGAGTGCATGTCGCATCTGATGTCTATGGAAAACGGCAAAGGAGAAAACAGGACTATGGTGAAGGGCTGTTCTAACATCACATAAAACGGGAATGAGCAGTAACACCTGCCAATGAAAGCAGTGAAAAACAGCGAAACTGCCTGTTTATCCTGCCATGGTGCTAATGCCCAAAGTCAAGTTTTGTTTGTGTGTGTGTGTGTGGAAAGCGGTAGGGCCCTATGCGCTAAGCTATCATCCGTTTTAGCTTTGGTATCACAATACAAGTATTAGGTGCTCGCACACTACTGCCAGTAGTTCAGTCGGTACTGAGTAGCCCGCAGCTAATAACAACCTGATATTTGCTTCCTGCACAAACGTAGATGGCGGCTAGCATTATGGAAGTGTCTTTACATGATGAGTCTGATCGACGATGATGAATGAAATAATCATTTGAACTCGTTGAAAGATGACGATGTCCGGGTCACAACGAAGTGACTTAAAACTTGCAGGATGAATAACTGATGATTGGGCCGATGAATGTGGCTTGTGCTGCAGCCGAGGCCTGTGGGGACGGACGACCGGTGAGGTACAAATGGAGCAAGGAAACGAGACGTGAATGTACACCAAGCACAATGATATTTAGCTATCATAAGCGTTGACAATGGTGAATAGTCCAGCTGTTCGTCATATTGAGCCTTCACGTCATAGCCATTGCAATATCAAGCTCCCCAAATTGTCATTAGCTTTCGCAGCCCAAGTCCAGTATTGAGTGCTCAAAGAACTTGCCAAGGCAATATAGCTGTGAGCAGCCCGAAGTTCATGGACGGATGATGACCTTTCCCTCTAGCAAAAAGTAGACGACGTCCAGCGCTATAGTCGAACAGTGCCACTGCCAGAAAGGGAGAAGGTTTGCGAAATTCTGTTCGAATATCGGGAATTCGGGAATTCGGTTAGATGGTTATGGAATGGACCATATTAAGGCATTTAGAATATCCTGCGCACGGTTTTCCTGAAAACCTGAAAACCGTAGATAGTGGGAAAACCTCAGGGGGGGGGGGGGCGGAAATCCGCCCCCCCCGTCGGTGCGCGGGATATATTTGATTGATATGTGTAGGCACTGCTTTAAAAATACAGTAAAACACTGAAAACTAGTGATGTCAATTACGGAAAATCGGAATACCGATACCAAACCAAATACCAACCAAAACCGTGGAGAAATATACCGAAACCAAACCAACTTGGGAACATGAGGAAAAAACCAACTTTTTACCGATTTCTTAGCCTCTTAGATATTAGCGAGGGTTCATGATACCAACAAAATACCAAACACATTAGGATTGAAATACCAAATACCGAGTTGGTATCGGTTTGGTATCGGTATACCAAAAAGTTGGTATCCGATTGACATCTCAACTGAAAACCAAAGCAACGTTGGAATGATTTTCCGTAGGTATGCGTTTAGTTAGCCAAGCAAACAAAGTCACAGGCTCTTGCACATATTACAGAGTGCTCCGGCACTGGTGTAACAAACAACTCACTTGCACTGGGGTTCGGGCTCACAGAGTAGATCCAACAGATAACAGGTCGCATTCAGCATTGCGCCGGACACTGCTGAAAATGTTGACAAGTGTCTGTCAGTAAACGCAAACATCAATCCCAATTGATAGGTACATGAAGACGATGACAAACATGTTGGCATTGTGTAGGAATGAGGACAGTAAATGATCACACAAAATGTAAAGCATTCTGCAACGTGTTGACAATGGACATTCAAATATGAATACATACCAGCCGTACGCAAGTGTCTTCGAAAATGTTGATCTCTTGATGGTGATGGAGAAGGTCTATCACGTCCACAGGCTTCAAGAAGTCGATCCATTGTCCGCATATTGTTAAATTTGGTCATCACATGTCCGTTTTCAACGCATCCGTAAACCGATGGCGAGAGCATTTAAGAACGTTTGAGCATGTGACTGAAATACTCAAAGACACAAGTTGGAGGAAGGAGCAGGCGAAAAAAGAAAGATAACAACACAGTGTATGAGCATCGTGTTCCAGTGCTAAAAATATAACTGAACAGGAAATGCAATATCATGTGTGGATCGCTCATGAGTGTGAACACATGCTTACATAGATGCATACCTACACTATACGAAAACATGACCGCTTTTTACGAGTGATTAACTGCTACATTCAGTGAACTGCATCATGTGGTACATGTTTGCGGGCGGAGCATGTCTACCGAATTCATCGGCAATACAATTAAAACAAACACACACATACGTAGAACTAGATGATGAGAGCTAGTGTAAGCGGGTGTACAGGTGGCTAATGTATATCTGCAGATAACTAATAGCTAGTGACAAATAAAAAAGTGCCAGCAACGGCCAGCGCAATGGGTGCTCCGTGATCGACGGTAAAATCTTCAACGGTATCGACGGTAAAGATGACAGGTAATGCACCTGTGAAAATAGGAGAAGCAACGGATGATTAGCTGACATGACAGCAAGTCGAAACGAATCGTCGATAAAATATAATATGTCAAGTCCGCGGATTTCTAAGCTTATGATTTTTCGATTTCGACGACTGTGAGTGAAAATGCATATCAGATGAGATATTCGATAAATATTACTAAAACCCTTAGAAGTCAATAGGCAGAGGGCTACAAGCCTACTTTATTCAACGTTGAATACCCACCCATAAAGGTCAGTTCATCCGAGTATTACCGCCTCCAAAAAATATTAACGTTTTGTAGGCATACAGTACCGTAAAACCGTTTGGAATCTTGGAGCAGAGCTGTTCGTTAAGCTAACAGCATCCTTTGATAATGAAATGGGCCGGAGGCAGAAACTGGCACTTGAGAATGCAGAGGCAGTCATCACACAGTCCCAGAAGACGTGACTGGACAAGGCGTCCAAGCGGCGCCTGGTCATACACGGTTGCCATTGGATACTGCGAAATCAGCCTGCAGGCACATAAGGACAAGGAGTTAAAGTTTTGAACACGCTTTTCGTTCCCTTGTTGCATTACAAAAAAAAAATATATTAACGTTGTGTAGGCATATCTGGTTTGGTAGCGTGTACCATTATGCTCCCATTCCACTTACTGGTCACAGATCCAAACTCATGAAACTCCTAGATGCCGTTCATGATGACGAGTGTGTTCAATGAAGCTTATTCTGATGCATGATGCACTGGTATGGTATGGTATGGTATTTGTAGCTTACGGGCCACCACAGCGTCCTGTATTTGGGCCCGGTTCTGTCGTCCGTCTTCGTTGTTGGTCCGTCCGTTGCCTTGAAGTGTCCGTTGTCTTCTTGGCTCGTAAGGGTGGGCTGAGGGGTGGGACTGGGTTCCTAGCTATCTCCTCCCGGGTAGCCGGATTGCCCCTTCTATTATTTTTTTTTGTTTTTGTTTTTTTTTTGCCATTTTGCCATTCTGGGGTCTTTTATTTTGATTCTCATTGTTTTGAATATTGTTTTTTCTTTTTTGCTTCTTTTTTTTTGGCTTTTTTGGCTTTTTTGTCCTTGGCTCTAGGGGAGGAGATTTACAGGTCATTGATCAGCCCAGTGTTGTGTCTTTAGTGGATGAGTAGTGTTGTTAGCTCGGGGTGTAAGTCCCCGAGCAGTGTTGTGAGTGTTAGTGGGATGTTGGCGTCTCTGCAGTATGTTTGTATGTGTGTCCTGTGGTGTTGGTATTGTGGGCATGTGAGTAGCAGATGTTTGACAGTGATGAAAGTGTTGCAGGTGTTGCATTTCGGTCTCGGGCTTCTTGTGATGATGTAGTTGTGTGTGATAGCGGTGTGTCCAATGCGAAGTCGTGTGATAGCCCTCTCGTTTTTGCGTGAGTTCATGTTCTTGGTGTGCCAGTGTTCTATGCGTGGTTGAATGCATCATGCACTTCTGGACAGTGATTGATATCCGACTTGCTTGGGCGAGTGTATGCGAGTGATGTGTAGTGGTGACCAATTGTACCAAAAGAAAATGACATTGAGAACATGATTTACAAGCGCAACATGCGGCACAACTCACGTGCATACAACGACAAGAAAAACAGGAAATGTCGTAAATGACGCCATAAAACATTGTATGGCCTACAAATATATCCGCAACGCAATCCTGGCTTGAGCTAATTCAGTACCTACTTTCGCGGGAACACTTTAACTCATGTAGGTAATGTTCACACGACGCAAGACTCATATACAAACATACAACACTAAAAAACACAGAACACGGACATTTTGTAGCAGTATTGCATTGTATCAGCAGCGAGGTGGAAAACTGGCGGCATCTTTGTCTCAAACTACGTGCCAGCGGTGCAATAGGCAGCTGGCATTCAGATCTAGCAATAATGTGTGCTCATGATGTTAATGGCAACTGTGAGGAGGATGAAACAATTCTGAATTTGATAGGACAAAACTGTCTGGCCAATCTGTTCCGAGCACAACTCACTTTCCCTGGACATGCAGAGTATGTGTTGCTGTGAGTTAGGTACTTATCAGATGTCACATCGCTCTGCTTATGGTAGACCTGCAATATGTGACTTGCATGTAAACCCTGCCAGCAGCATGTAGTTTTGCACAATAAAACTGTTTTCTCTGTGTGGGCTTGCATATTTCGTTGGCAGCAGGCAGGCACAATGCTAGTTCCATACACCACTGACTACACGCACTCATGCACGTATTTACTTGAAAACTAGTACCAATTCACTCATTCACTAAATTACGTGTAAGATGACACGCACACCCTCACATACGCACATACATACCCACACACCCACATCCACCCTTACACACTCACAGGCACACATGCTCACAAATACCAATCATTCAGGGTTTCCGATGAGATGAAGTGTGTCTACTGTTTCTCTGCCACATTACGTCATCACCAAAAGGATTGAATCAAAAGTATCTAGGGTTAAGAAGCATAAACAATTGCTGACACATACTTGTCACTTACTTCTAATATGCCCTACTGCAACCATAAGATTCAGTTGAACCACTTTGCTCATCTTTACTTTCAAGCTGACAATCAGCATTGACGAATCAGCATTGTTTGGCCTTCATGAAAGCTTACGTCAATAGCGCAAATAATAACTTGCTTGTGACGAATGGCTTTTAGTATGAATGCACATAGGTAAGTGAACTGCGCACATGCTGTGACAAACTTTTTTTGCCTAGTAAGAAAACAGTAGACACACTTGCTAGTTTGGATAAAGGGATATTCTCGTGCGTGGTAAACGGTTTAATTCGAATTTGAGGTTGACAAAATGTCAACGGTCGTTTGTGACGAACGGGGCTATATAGTAACAGTTACTGAAGTTTGGAGGACGTATCGACTGCTGAAAATAATGTTTGCCAATGAGCAAGAACATCATGCGATAACATGATTAACCAGATACGTTAGTTCCGACTAACATTGCGTCGTAGTTTCGGATACTCCGAATGGAACTTGAAAACGTTAACAAATACTTTTGTATCGGCCATCGTACAATGCTTGAAACAGTGCCTAACAACAGTCAACGTCCGTAAATATAGTCTGGTGCAGCAT